TATTGGAGATTTATTTAAGCCTTAATTTAAATAAGGTTGGTAAATCGATATTAAAGTGATTGTGTCAAAAGGAAAAAAAGTATATAAACATACATAAATACATAGTGAAGTTTTGGAATTGAATTGAAGATGTGTTGGGAAAAGGTGAAAATAACTTTCGATAAGTGTTTAGACGATCTTGAATCTTCTGAAGACGCTGAGCCAGAAGATATTCAAGTGGCTGAAAGTAAATTCCAGAGTACCCTTAATGTTTATGCGCGATGTTCAAAGTCGATAAAAATTAAGATTGATGAATTGGAAGCAAAGACTAACGGCTGTATTTATAAAAACTTATTTTAGGTTTATTAAACAATTTTAGGCAAAATTCAGGAAAATCGTATTTATAAACGTAAAATAGCTTAAAACACCTTCAATAAACCATTGACAATTAGAAGAATTTTATTGTAGGCTCGACCCTTCTTTAAGCCAACAATAAGTTGATTTTTAACAATTTTTTTCTCAGATAAAGATTTTTCCGGTAATTTTAGGTTGATTGCGAAAACTAATTATGGTTTCTTTTAAAATAAAATCTAAAAATTCTAATTTTAACGTTTACAAATTTGTAAATAAAATCCCAGAAAATTTTTAAACGATTATATTTTGAGGAAAAAACTCAAATCTAGGCATTATTGGATTAATGCATGAATATTTGATAATATTCCAATTGTCCAGCACTATTTTTAGGCAATTTGGAAGTGCCCGTCTGTCAACCAAATGATGGACAAAATCATTTGATTTGGCTTTTTCAAAGTTTGTTGGTTAAATATAATGCCATAAAGTAATTAACCATGTAAATTATATTGATTAGTGTTATACTAATGCAAAATATATTCGCCGGCATTAAAATTAGTCAAATATCAAAGAAATTTATCAATATTTGCAAAAATTTATCAAAAATTACAAGGAAAATAAGTAAAAATAAGAAAATGTGTCATAGTGATGTATATTTTGTCGCAAAATATCCTTTATTCGGATACTTTTAATAATAATTAGAAATTATATGTTATATTTATACATCTGAACTAAATAGACATTTATTAAAGCCATATATATATTTATTTTTCTTAAAAGTTTGTTTTTATTGTCAAAAATCTATTATAAACAATAATATGAAATTAAGAAAACCGAATCAACGAATATTTTATCCTAATTGTACGCAACACTAACACATAAAATGACAGCCATATTGTACAGTGCTGCCAACTTAAACATAAATCAGCACAATAGTTAATATACGTTTATTATTTGTTTATGAATATCACAATTTTATAATTGGTTTTTAAGGCTAAAGTGTGCTTTAACTATTGAGTGCATTTAAAGCAAAAAAAGATTTTTTTATAAATACAAGCGTAAGTCTAAAGATTCCCCTCATCCAAATAATGATTCAAAATTTGATAATGTTAGTCATAATCTACCTCTTCCGCCATGTGATACGGACATCTTCAACGGCGATTATCTCTCATGGCCTACATTTAGGGATCTTTTCACTGCTTTATATATTAATAACAGTCGGCTTAGTAATATCGAGCGATTATGTTATTTAGTGAAAAGAACATAACGAAGCGAGAGAAATTGTATCTAAATGTCCGTTGACTAATGCTGGGTTTGATATAGCGTGGAAAAGTTTAAAAGATACATACGAAAATCTCCGAATGCTAGTTAATAATCAACTAAAGTGCTTGTTTGGTTTGGAGACAATAACAGAGGAGAATAGTTCCTCATTGAAAAGGTTACAGCGCGGAATCAATGGATTTTTAACCGCTATGTCGATATATGAGATTCCCACTCAAAATTGGGATCCAATTATCGTTTTTATTTGCATACAAAGACTGCCCTCTCAGACAGTGACACTATGGGAACAAAGTGTTAAGACAAAACTGCCTTATCTTTATGGAAAGATTTGGACATGTTTTTGACCGAAAGAATCCAAACGTTAGAATGCATACGCGATCTTATGAGTTCCAACACTGATAAGAAAGGTATTGAACGCAAGGAAAAGACACATGGTTCGAATACAGGTCCTACGAATGCTTGTGTTTTATGTAAAAAACCGGGTCATTTACTTCGTTTTTGCCGTCAGTTTGATAGAATGTCTATTCCTGAGAGATTAAGAACGGTTAAAAAATTTCATTGCTGCATAAATTGTCTTGCTAGATCACATGATGTTCAGGATTGCACTAGCGAACATCGTTGTTCTATTTGTAATAAGCGACACCATACTTCACTACATCGGGATTCTTCAGTTTCGCAAAACTCTAGAAATGCACTTCCTGCGTCATTAGATGACAACTCTTCTTTGGTTTTACGACCATACAATCCTGTTCCTAATGACCAACGACCTACTAACTTGTCAACTGCATTAGTAGAAAGACCGACTACGTCAGGCGCTATAGTTGAACTACAAGTATTTCAAACCAGTCAAAACTATTCTATTCCTTCGGGTACTTTGACTAATTCATTAGATGACAATTCTAGTGTGGTTCTACGACCCATTAATCCAACTCCTAATGACCAACGACCCACTTTGTCAGGTACAACAGCTGGAAGACCTACTACGACAGACACCATTACTGAACGACAAGTATTCCATACTCGTAGAAATCATTCTGTTCTATTGGGTACAGCAACTGTCGACTTTATACACAAATGTTGTAGATATCAAGTTAGAGCTTTAATTGACCCTGCTTCAGAATGTACTATTATTTGTGAAAAGTTGAGGAAAAGATTCAAGATTCCAACCATTTCTGAAACAGCGAAGTTTTCGGGCGTAAATGAGGAATTTTCGGCCATTTCGACGAAGACTTGTAATTTGATAATAGGTTCTAGTACTGATTCGACATTTTTATTAAATACTTCTGTTTCTATTTTGCCAAGCATTTCGGGAAATTTGCCTTCGGTATCGGTCAATGCCGACAAATTACCAAATCTTCATTTGGCAGATTCGAATCCTTTCGGAAGTAGACCTGTAGAAATATTATTAGGAGCTGACGTATACCGCCAGCTAATTTTACCCGGAATTAGAAAAAACGTACTAGGATCATTACTGGCTCAAAAAACCGTATTTGGTTGGATATTAACCGGTCCTGTAAATAGTATTAATTCATCCCCTACGAAGGAAAGATATAGGCCAACTAAATATAGATACATTCCAACATGGAATCGTAATGAACCCAAATGATGTAGGAACTAGTTACTTTATCAATCTGTTATAGAACCGCAACTTATTAAAATTGTTTGTAAAGCATTATTTTTCATTTCGTCTACGACAAGGCACTACGTGCAAACACTTTTTGTAACCTTTTACGAGGTAATATTTAAATATAGATAATTCGAGATTTACGTCTATCCCTAACGCTGTATTAATAGAATCGTAAAAGATGGAAAGAAGAATTTTTGACTAATTTTACTATTGATCGCTTTGTATGGCAGACTTGTTGTTTCGAATTCCTAAATGATCACTATATATCAATTTACTTTACTAACCTTTTCCTAAATTATTTTTAAATCAGCAAGAGTCCTTAGTGATTCAACCGGAGTCTCATCATGGCTCAACCAGAGTCTCTTAATGGCTCAACCAGAGTCTCATTGTGGCTCAACTAGAGTCTCATCATGACTCAAACGGGTCCATAATGACCCAAGTAGAAAAAACTGGAGTCTGATCATGGCTCACGAGAGTCCTTAATGACTCGTCATTTATTTAGTTACAACACCTAATTAAGTGTTGCAATGGGGCCGGCAATGTTTAAGTACAAATCGATTATTTGCGGTATTTTTCCTCTAAGTGTAAATCCTAATGATTTACTACTTTAGTTTACTTTTTTGATGGAAAACTATTACTAATTCAACGAGTAAACCGCTAACTGTTTTTAAACTTTGTTAGCCTCCATACTTAGAAATAAGTAGTTGTTTATCACTCGTCATTTAGAAGCCTTAAAGAGCACTTCTTGTTGTGCACACACGCTTAAGGTAATATATAAATAAAGGAAGACAAATCTTCTCCTTTTATAAAACTAATAATTATCCTTTGTGTTTTATTCTTTTTGTGCATTTACACTGAACCATATCGGATTGACGCCGAAACAATAATAATGGTATATTATTATTTTTTCCCAGATATCTTTAAACTTCTGATATGTAATTGGAGTCCTTTAAGCTTAGTTAAGTAATATTATTTTTGGTTTTTACTAACATTAGCTGACTCACATAATACAAATTGTAATGGTATAGGGTATAAAATTCAATATAATTCCTGGTTTTTCCAGTTGACTATATATAATAATCTTTCTATATTCATGTAAAAGTGAAAATAATGAATACATGTATGTATTTATTTGATAGATTTACTGCATTTCACCCTGCTTTAAACTCGGTAAAACTATTTTAACAAAAATTATATCTTTTTCTAAAAAAATAAAGAATACCAGTAAAACAAGGAAAGAACATTTTTTGTAATAACCACTATTTTTATTACTGACAATACTAAAAACGATTGTACCAAAATATTTTTAAAATTATAATTTTTACACTTTACAAAAAATTTTTAAGTCATTTTTCAATTCGCAATTTAATATTTTTTGTAAAATTATTTTTTAGGGTTTACACCAAACAATAACCTGTGTGTTAAAACTTTAAAATGAAATTACATTTTAAAAATATTTAATCCTGTCCCAGAAATGAAATACGTGGCAACAATCTTCTATTACAATAGAAAAATCTCATTTTACTTTATTAGTTTTTAAACGAAAACTTTCAAATTTAAACATTATCATAATAAAATGAAATGTTCATGTGAGAACTAAAATGTTTTAAGAAAACAGGCTGTTAATTTTCAATGGGAACATCAGTACCTACCTTTTTTCTCCATACAAATGGGGTAACCCTAATATACATATAAATTTTGTCAGATTAGACTCTTTTTATACATTAAATAAATTAATAAATTATTATTTAATATTTTTTAGAATCGTTTAATCCTGTTCCAATAAAAGACGAACCACAAAATTCTTCTACCTCGCCACCAGTAAGCCCAATTGATATGGAGACACAAGAAAAAATAAAACTTGAACGCAAACGTCAGAGGAATCGGGTAGCAGCTTCAAAATGTCGAAAAAGGAAACTTGAACGGATTTCGAAATTAGAAGAAAAAGTTAAAATTTTGAAAGGAGAAAACACAGACCTTGGTTCAATTGTAAAAAATCTTAAAGAACATGTAGCTCAGCTTAAGCAGCAAGTAATTGAGCACATCGAATCTGGTTGCAGCATAAATGGAACTACATTGTTGCCAACTAAATGATTTTAAACTATAATATATTTTTTATAAGTAGCATAAATTAATAATTATTAATTTCTGCGAGTAATGTATTTTTCAATTTATCATTGTGTTGTTTATTGTTACGATATTGAATTTTGAATACAACCCTGCTCTACGACACTAATATTTTATCTATGATCTATTGTTTGTTCATTCTTTTATTTTGATGTTCTTTCTCACTTTTTATCTTTTTTATCTAACGGTTATTTTTATTCTTTGAACATTGTGAAATCTTTTAGTCGTATTAAACTTTTAAACTTGAAACGTCGTGTTTTAATTCTCCAGGGAAAAATTCAATAGGTTATGGGCCCAGGAGCGCTCGAGTGAATATTGGAATATTTAAAAAATTAAAATTATAGGAAAGTGAAAGGACGTGTATCAAAATGAGTGTCTCAAAGTACAATATTGAGAAACTAGATGAAACGAATTACGACTCATGGAGCTTGCAATTAAAGGCTGTTTTGATACATCAATGAATCAGAATGTGTTCAACAATATGTGCACTGAAAATAATCCATGCTCAACTTTACGAAAAAAAATTTCGTAACTTCTATTTTCGTAATATTTACAAAAATTTCGTGTATAATACGAAATATTATTTACTAAAACCCTTTTCTATTTTTACGAAAGTACGAAAGCCTTTCGTAATACTTTTTTCTTAAATTTTAGCGAAATTAAACAATGATATTAATTATATTATCATTAAATAAAACTACTACATTTTTATAAAATTTAAGAAAAAGTATAATATTATTCACGAATTATTTTCATAAAAAAAAGAAAAATTCGTGTGGAAAATAATTTTGAACTAAAATTAGAAAAATTATTTTAAAATAAACAAAAATGTTTGCATAAATTAATATTTCGTAAATTTTACCATATTTATTCAAAGTTCTCTGTTTTCAATTTATGTAAATTAATTTCTTCAAGATTATTTTGCATTATACTAAAATATTTCGTACAATTTCGTATATATTACGAAAGAATTCCGTGGTGCGAAGCAACGAACGATTCATACAATGTACGACATTTTTCGTATATATTAGGCATGAATTTTTTTCAGTGTGTGTAATTTTTCGTCAATTGTGGAGAAGCTAGCCGAAACTGGAATAGAGCTTCAGGACGAGTTATTTGCCATTATGCTCCTGGCAAGTTTGCCAACATCGTATGAGAATTTCGTCATCGCCTTGGAAACAAGGGATGAGCTGCCAAAGCTGAGTGCATTGAAATTGAAATTAACAGAAGAGTGTGAAAGAAGAAAAGCTGGTGAACAAATTACACAAAATGGAGGCGCACAAGTTTTTATGTCTCAGTCAAACAACAATAAAGGGTGATGGCAACGATCAAACAAATTTACACACACAGGATTTTTTTTGATTGTGTTAGTGAAAAAAAAACTCACACGCACTGGTTTGATGAAAATCAAAACACTTTTGATTTTCAACAGAAGAAGCAAACATTGAAGAAGAAGAAGCATAAATTCATTTTTATTTAGTTTTTGGTGAGACAACACCACATTTTTTGCCGCAAGGTAAATGAAATATAGATGAAAAAAGAAACATATTCGAATTTGTTTAAACCAACAGTACCAAATTTTACTTGAAATATACAAAGAAAAATATCCAGTTTTTTAATAAAACAATTTTTCATTAATAAAATAATAATTTCAAAAAATTAATAATTGTTTTTTATAACAAAAATTACATTTATAATAATGGTAAAAATTGCATGTGTAACAGTGTTGACACATAACGCATAAAATTTTTTCATACATATTTTTATCACCATGCGGTAAAAAAATGATGTTGCCGTCGCAAAATCTAAATAAAAATGAAATTTATGCTTCTTCTTCCTCAATGATTGCTGGAATAAATTACTAACACATAAACAAGATTTGACCAAATGTGGACGTGTGGCCATACTGCTTAAGATTAACAATAACAACAACAAAGTAAGTGGCGACAGAATCAACGTGAATAAAAAAACAATCGTCAAGCCGGTAAGCAGAAACAAAATTTCAACTGTTTTAAATGCGGTCGCAGAGGCCACTTACGCAGCACAGTGCAGGGTACTGTACCCCGTTTCTGTAACTTTTAGTGAGAAGTTCTCACATTGAGAAGTGTGAAACAAAAAATTCCATCGTTTCTCGATGGAATTTTTCTGTAACTTAAAGTGAGAAGAGGCTACACGAATTACGTTTTTATTGGAAATTTCCAATAAAACAGCTGTCAAAAACATAAAAATTAAAAGAAGAAAACAAAAATTGCCGAACAAATTTATAAACGAAGAATAAATAAACAAAAAATATAGAAATTAAATGAAAATTGTTCGAAAAATTATCCCACTAAATTCGCCCTTGGCAAATACTAAGTTTACGTCCAAGTACGTTATTAGCATTTGCTTCTGTATATCCGAAATTCCTCCTATCTTCTAAATATTAGTGAACAATATTTATTTTAATCTTAATTAATGATAAATATAACATTACTTTTTCATTATTTCATAGAATTCATGTTTAAATTATTTTTTTTTTACTTAAAATTTTACTTTCCGCACCGTTTTAAAATGTGAGTTTTTTTGACAGTTCATGTGAGAAACTTCTCACGAAATTTTCTTACAGAAACACTTTTACCCACAAATTTCCAATAACTTACGTTAAAAAACATAAATGACAGATAGTTTTCACAAAATTTTCTTACAGAAACAGTTGCATGTGAGAAATGATATTTTGTTTCAATTCACATTGTTTTTTCTTCAATTTCACTGTTTCATGCGAGAAACTTCTCGATGCGAGAGTTACAGAAACGAGGCACAGAAACGGTAAACCAGAAACAAGCAACAGAACAGTACAACAAGAAAGAAAAGACACACACGCATACTCAGTATTTGCAGCAACTAACGACAACAATGTATTGAATAAAGATGTTTGGTGTTTAGACAGTGGTGCGACGTCTCATCTATGCTGTAACCGAAATTTTTTTGAAACATTTGTGGAATTGATCACACTTGCTGGCCAAAGTGAAATTAAAAAGGGCAGAGGTACAGTTCGTATTAACGAATATAACATTGTTTTAAATGATGTGTTGTTTATACCAAATCTGCAGTGTAATTTTATTTCTGTGGGCAGAATAGCGGTAAAAGACGTTGTGAAATGGCACAACCGATACGGGCATTTAAATGTGGCAGGCCTATGTGAACTATCGCGGAAAAATTAGTGAATGGCCTGAATATACAATTTCCAAATGAAATTAAATGTACTACTTGTTTGAAGAGCAAATGCACAACAGAACCATTCTACAGTTCTGAGATCAGGTCAACGGAATTACTGGAGATAATTCATACGGACATTTGTGGTCCGGTAAATGTAAATTCTTCCGGTGGTGGTCTCTAAATATTGACGTTTATCGACGATTATACTCGGTATGTATTTGTTTACTTTTTGAAGAACAAAAGCCAAATATTTAAAGAATTTAAAACGATGGTAGAATGTCAGACAGGAAGAAGAATGAAGTTGCTTAGATCTGACGATGGTACTGAGTTTGTTAATAAAGTTTTTGAAATTAAATGGTATTAAGCGACAACTGACAGTACCTCATACACCACAACAGAACGGGGCAATAAGAAGCCGAGCGTCCGCCATCTAAAAGTTTTTGGTTCCTTGGCTATTGCATTGGATAAAGCACATCATCACAAGTTCCGTACAAAAGGAAAGCAATACATCATGGTTAGTTATTCCGAAACTTCGAAGGCGTATCGCCTATTTGAAAAATCTACAGGAAAGATAATCATAAGTCGAGATGTTTACTTTATTGAAAATGATTTTGTAAAGGAATATGAACCTGAACAACTTAGTAAATCTGATGACAATATTTTCACCATACTAATAGAGCCGATTGTCGAGAATATTATTCAAGAAGATCAGAATCAAGAAGACAGTGAATTCGAGTCAGCCGAGGAAGATTATCCAGATCCTGATGCTGAAATGAATGGTTCCGAACTAGTTGGATTTCGTACTAAAATTGAAAATCAGAAAGCAGCATGACGACCGAAGTTAGGACGAACAGGTCAACCAGGAAGACCGAGAAAACAGTATAATACGGTAAACATGATATGTGCGGAAAATATTAAAGTTCCTGCAACAGTGAACGAGGCTTTATCGGGTGAGTACTCTCCATATTGGCTAAGTGCGATGCAGGAGGAGTATAAAGCTCTTCTTGACAATGATACTTGGGAGTTATCGGAGTTGCCACATGGTCAGAAGGTTGTAGGATGTAAGTGGGTTTATGCCATAAATAAGAACAAGGTGGGCCATATCGAACGTTTTAAGGCCAGATCAGTTGCTAAAGGCTATGCACAAACAAATGGCATAAACTATTCCGAGACTTTTTCGATACGAGACTACCAGAATGGTAATTGTCCTTGCAGCGGAATATGAGCTCCATCTACATCAAATGGATGTATCCACGGCGTATCTAAATAGTGACTTGACCGATGAAGTATATATGGCGCAGCCCGAGCACTTCACAGATGAAAGATTTCCCGAAAAAGTTTTAAAATTAAAGAAGGTTTTATACGGACTCAAGCAATCCGGCCGTCAGTGTAACCTGAAATTAGATGAAATATTGAAGGGAATTGGTTTCCACCCCTGTGAAAGTGAACCATGCCTATACCGCAGGGAAAATGGCAGTAATATCAATTTTATCGCTGTATATGTGGATGATTTGCTTATAGCGTGTTCAGACTTGAATGAACTAAACCAAATAAAATCCCAAATTGCTGAAAAGGTATCTGTAGTTGATAAAGGTCCCGCTAAACATTTCCTTAGCATTGAAATTGAGAGAGATGGCGCTACTGGACAAATTACAATTCATCAGAACAAATATATTAGAGAACTTCTACGCGAATACAAAATGGAAGAGTGCCGTCCAGTATCTACTCCGTTGGAACCCAAATTCCAAGTTATTTGTGTGTTATTTTTATCCTGGCTGCAGTGTATTCTCATGGGAATCCAAGAAGCAAGCTACAGTAGCCTTGAGTAGCACAGAGGCTGAATATATGGCGCTTTCATCAGCGGCAAAGGAAGCCGTATTTTTGAAGAAACTCCTGAGTGAAGTAAAAATCCATAGCCCGGAGAAGGTTTTAATATATGGAGACAACCTTGGTGCTATACATTTAGTTAAGAACCCTATTAATCATAGTAGAAGTAAACATATAGATATAAAGTATCATGTATCATGATACTTTTCTTTCTCACGTTTTATCTA